GCCTGAATTTGAGCCCATGTTGGGTTGTTAGACCTTGATCTGTATGTTCAGATTTGTACAGTATATGGTTCATTGATATTACACCACATCTGTTTGTGTCAGATTTATAATACACATATGGCATCCAATCCAAGCTATCCGCAGCTGATCGCAGCACTGAAATTTTCGGGGATTTCCACAATCTTGATATTGCACATCTGGCTGAGTTAATAAAGCGAGATTCATTTGGTCTTTTGCCCTAAAAATATAATCTATGGATTTACCAGAAAGGACTGATTGAGAGCCAAACGTCCTGTTTAGTTTTTTTCCATTGCAGAATGGTTTCATACACTGCCACTGCAGTCAGAACAGGTTATCCACAGTCACCTCTGCTCATTGGCAGCATTGGACCAGGTTCTGTGCGGGTGAGGTGCCAGCTACAGACACTTCTATAAATATTCTTTGTGTAGTAGGACAAATAATTGTGTTCTCTGCTGAATTGCACCTCTGAATCCAGTCTTCTCAACTCTTCAACGAGCTAATTTTCCTGAACTCTCTGCCACGTCTGGTTGGTTTATGACTATTTAATGAATTTTGCAAGGGTAGATGCTTTGCTGAATGGAGTACAGTTTTTTTCAGTGGCAGTAGTGACAGGGAGTGAGCGAAAACATCTGCAAAAGGGATTAAGCTTTACTTTCTTAAAGTCTATCCAATTCCTAAACCCAATGGGAGCAGCAGCTAAACAAATTATATATACACACACACTTTTAAAGTATCACCATACACTACTTAATTGATATAAACTGTTCTATCCAAGTTAGGTTTTTAATAACCTTCATCAATATACTGTATATGAGTATGAGTTTCAAGATATTATGTGAACAGAGGATACCTGAACAAAGATGGAAGAGTGTAGGGCACTTGCTGCACTCTTTACTGGGATTCCCATATGGATATGCAAACGGGTGCTAGAGATGACTGCGGATGTAGTCATATCTACATGTGCGCATGCACATGTAGATAATTAAAGAATGTCACCAGCACACCAAATCGATGACTGCGTTAATTTATTGACTTATGCTGTCTCTCAGTTGCAAGCGCTTTCGGGGCCACACAGGGTCCCCTTCATCAGGCTCAGAGATGCATTATTTTCAAACACAAACAAATGACTGGCAGTCTATTCATTTCTTAGGCCTTGTTCAGATGGGAGGTTGGGGGGCAGTAAAAACATGCATCAACCACCTGTTTTACCACCCCCAACCGCCCACCAAAAAGCTAAAATATTGTGGTAATATACATGTCACAGCCATGATGCTTTGTGTTGCAGCATGGCGTGTTTGGCAGGCAGTGCTGCTTACCAAACACGACTATTGCAATCAATGGGGTAGTGGTTGCGGCGTGGTGCTGAAAATGCCTCCTAAACACCAGGCAGCCACTGTTCTACCTCCCTCTGAAAAGGGGTACTGGAGCCTGCCATCTGAACAAGGCCTTAGAGGAAAAATATTGACGGTCATCATGGTGCCTCCATTTGTCTCCAGTGGTAGCAAACAGAGCAAAAGGTGCACAAATGTAAAATTACCCCATATATGTCGATTTATGGCTGATCTTAGGTTTCGTCAAGAGCTTTGGTGCCTGGAGGATCCTCTCCATCTGACACACCTCTGGAGATGTCGTATTCCTGCTTCCTTGCCAAAGGGAAATGCAATTCAGATGAAGAAGACTCTCTGGGCACTGTGGCTCTTGATAAGAGTAAAGATTGCGGGCAGCAGGTCAGGTAAGTATGATATCTCTTTTTTTTTAACAGGGAACAATCTTTTCTCTTTAGTTTAGGACAGGGTCCCTTTCATGATCTTTAAGACAAGGGTGTGGCTATTTTGGGCTGCCATAGGAGGTTTTAATGACTAACTTGATGCAAAATCTATGTGTGTCCTTGCTCTTCCTTCCCTCTTCTCAATAAGAGACATGTGCTTCCCTTTAAGGGGACTTGGCATCAGCCTCCTGCAACCCCCCATACAGCAGCACTGACACTGAGTGATGGAGGAGCAGAAATGGAAGCCATTCAGATCTGCTGCATACAAATGTGTAGACAAGAAATTTGCTGTTCGGAGAAGAGATCAGAAGGATGACCGTACCAGTTTCCTGCTGCTCTTTTCCTGTCCAGTCATCAAGGAAGAGGTGGAGAGAGGACAACACTGCATTCCTTAACTGTAAGTGGTGTTATCTACCTGGCTGTGCTAATCTCAGGACTGCATTGTCAGAAGTACAAACTCCTTATCAGGTAAGCAGCATCTAATGTATGTCTCGTTTGTTTTTATCTGTGTATTTCCCCATTTGCCTGAATTTCAGCATTCAATTCTGCATAAAAACAATTTAATGAACACTTACATAGGATAATCCCGTGTATTACTTTTAAAATGCGTTGGTGTTGGAGAAGTAAGACTTCACATACCTTCACATATCCATGTAAAACAAAAGCTGTTAGATGTTACAAAGATCAACAGCACCACCTTAGATGTCAACGCTGCCCTCACCAATCAGTAACTGGTGCTCCAGTGTCTTCTCTCCCAGTCTAATGCATCCCCTGCTCATAAAACTCCCCCCATCTCTGGAAATTAATCAGGACATTTGTCAAGAACACACTATCAGCACATTACAAAAGGGCTTTTAACTCTATTCTTATCATGTGCTGCTTCAATCCACTCATGAGAAGTGCTCCCTTGTAAAGATATATGTCTGCGTTTTACATCTATGGAACTTTTATCTGCTAGTATTAATTAAGCAGTTGAACTCTCTAAGTCATTCTCCCATTTCCCAGGCATCCCCTTAATTATACTATGAATCTTTTAAATTAACAACAACACATATTTAAAGGGTTGTTACTGTATTTATCATACTAATGACTACTCAGTACTGCTGCGGCAATTTACTAATTCTTGTATCGGCTCTATGTTCTTTGGCACCTTGATTATATTGAAGACACAACCATTCATCTATTGCAGGTATTCTGTATACTCGCATCCACAATACAAAAAAGTATTTCCTACATACAGTAAAATTCCCTGTTATCCGGCATCCACGGGGATTGTTAGATTCCGGATAAATCTAGTTTCTATTTGCTTTTAATTCACTATTAAAAATAGGTCTAACTAATGGCATACCCCATACTATACCATATCATGACAAACTCTGTATTGACTTCATATTAATATTGAAATGCAGTAATCAATATCAAATTAAGACAAATAGGCACACAATCGTTTCCAGTATAATACATGCTGCACATCAGCAGAACAATGAGTACATAGGGGACTTTTTTTTCTGGTTAGTTGAATATCGGATAACAGAGAGTTTGCTGTGCTGTGTATGTATGTACGTATATATACACTGAGTGGCCAGATTATTATGACCACCTGATGTTTGTAGGCAGATTAGCTATAATTAGCTATAATTTCGCGCTGAAGTTGCTAGAGGGCCAGACCATTATAAATAGGGAAGCAGGTTGTTTACCACGACAGTAGAAGTGATTTTTTTCTGAAGATATGAGTAAACAACGCGATTTAACAGCCTTTGAACGTGGGATGATTGTTGGCGCGGAGCCAAGGAGCGAGTATCAGCAAAACAGCAGAATTTGTTAAATGTTCAAGAGCAGCTGTTGTTAAAGTGTTTAAAGACTGGGCTGTCAGCCGAAAATCTGGGTCTGAACGTGCGAATTGTGGCCGTCAGCGACTAGTCAATGTTAGGGCAGAACTGAGAGTGGCAAGACTGGTACAAGACAACAGAAGGGCAACAGTGCAGTTTCAGATTCCTCGCATCACCTTCCAACATCTCGTGGAGTCACGAGGCGGCCCAACAAAGTCATCTTGTGGAGTCATCTCGTGGCCCAACGAAGTACTGATGGGGTGGTCATAATGATCTGGCCAATCAGTGTATATAGAGAGGGAGAGGAGGAGAGTTGGCAAATGGCCCTCTCTATTCTGTGACCACATATCTTCCTCACATGACAGTGTAAACCAACCACCAAAAATAATGGTGTTTTGGTTCTTCCACAGGGAGAGGGACCAGGGGTGTCTATGGATTTTTGTGACCTATACAAAAGCATTGATGGGTGGTTTTGTGTTATTTGACCATCAATGGCAGTCCACCAAAAATTGAAATTTGGTGATGGAGCATTACAACACCTAAGAAGTTTCTTACATTTTTCAGGGACTCAATTGGGGAGATCTTAGCACCTCAGTTAATAGGTCTGTACACCTACCGTTGCCGTAACGAGGGGGCCCCTGCTAAGTTTTGAATTTATTTCAGAATACTGAAAATATAACAGAAGGCACTGGAAAGCACAAAGGAAGGCAGGTACATGGGACACTTCTAGGTGGATAAAAATAGAGTTGGGAATTACAGAGGGTAGGTCTCGTTGTTGAAGTATACTAAACAAAAAGCTGGGGTGAACTGATCCCACCAAGTTCCAGCTTGTGTACTGCCCCTTTAATTTGACTTGCACATAGGGGAATGCATTATCCTTCAAATACATACATACAACATTCAAATATGCAAGCGGCAATACAAATCTGACAAAGATTCTAACACTTCAACACTCTATTCGAGTGTTGGTATACTTTAACAAATATGTAGCTAGTATTCCTGGTATGAACGAAAAGCAGTGGCCCAGCACTGTGAGGCACAGAACTAACCACAGTCACAGCACTGGCATACACACTCTACAACTGAAGCATTCACTCACAATGTATTCTGTAAAAAACAACTGAATTCAAAAAGGTTGTTAGGAGTGTATGGACCCTACAGCTCTGAATACTCATTTGAAAAGACTGAGAGCTCCAGTGACCCGTCAGTTCTGGGGACACAGGTCAATAGCCGTCACCTACTATATAGACAAGAACATGAAAAAGCATCTATAGAAAAGTGCTCATTAGTACACGTAGCGCATAGAGCTGGCAATGTACGCCGGGTGAAAAGCTGGGGACCATGGTGATCTACCATAAGATGATGTGAATGCAGAAGCCTACCTGTCCCTGAGAGTTTGTTTTTCTGAGCGTGATAAACACGGATGATGTCCACAATCACATCTCTGACATCTGGATCCTCACTTTGCAGCAGCTGCACTACGCACATCCATAGCTGTAAAGTATCTGACACACCTGTAGGACAAAATGAAAAATATATTACAGATAAATCATCCCAGAAACATACAGAGGCATCATATTATTGTTTATCCTTCACCATTTAGTAAGTATATTCCTAAAATGAACAACACATCTACCGTACATCTTATAAGCTTCTAAAAGCAACCCCGCCAAGAAGATCACATTGGCTAGAAAGAATACCCTAAAAGGAGAATAAATACTGAACTTTGCCGCTGGCCACTTTGTAAAGAATTGTCTGTTGCAGTCTGTTGGGAAATCAACACTTCCGGGAGTGTTGATCTTCTTGGCCCGCTCAGTGGTTTTGCCCATCATGTTACTACTGTATCGTGCATTGGCTTTGAGGTTGGCAGGAGGAACTAATCCAAAGTTGTCAACAGAACAGGAATAGAGAAGAAATATTTTGACGGGGACAACTTCCTAAGAGGGGATCTCCCTCACATTAGAAGCATATCCTCGCACTTCCTTTTGTGTCTAGAGGACAGGAAGTGAAGGGAGATGGGTTTTAACCATTCCTTATTCCATCCAAAAATGAAAAAACACATTTTGACTTTAATTTCAACAAACTTAATTATGTGATCTGCACTTTCATCACTGTCCATTTATAATTGCCATTGAAGCCTTATTACCTTCTCTTTAATGGCCTCTAATTATCATTCTGGTATTCATCTTCTGCATTTAACTCTCATATTATAATTTTATACCTGCCTGGAGTTCAGCTTTGAACCTAGTACACAGATCTTTGATACATACCAAAATACAGGCCACTCTGCTTTACACTATAGGTTCTACACAGCAGTGGCTATGGATAAAAGATATTCAGCAATAAGCTGCTCTCTTAATTTGTATGTATTTTTTGTATCTCTGTCAAGTGTCTTGGTCAACAGAGTTCTTCCTAAGCAGGGAACACTTTGTATATTTACCAAGGAACTTAACCCCTTCAACCAACGGGAGGCTTGCAGGGTTGCCCAGGGATGGAAGCCTCTAGGGATCATGTTGGAGGAGAATGCTTTGATGTTTGTGTTGCCTGGGGGACAGGGAGCTCAAAGTACAGCAATGCTTGGAAGAGGGGCACTTTTTAAATAAACTGTTTCTGTTTGTGGAGTGTATTCCTCTGAAGTGTAGTTTTCTGATGTTGAACAGGCTATGCAGGAATAGAACTGCTGTATGAGAAATGTACAGCTTCTATAAATAACATACAGCGGCTTCACAAACCACCCAAACAACATGCCTCATGTGGGGCAGACTGTCTTGAACTTAAAGAGAAGTCCGAAAATATAACAAGCAGTGCGCTCAAGAGACTGAACTGCAATATTTTGCTGTGAGCGGACCCAGACAAAATCTAATTTAATTTTATCCATTAAAGGAAACTCATCTGCCATTAAAATGGATATACAATATATAATTTGTACACAAGCCATTTTGACAAACAGCCATTCCATTTTGGCCTGCAGTCAGCTAAGCTTTCTAAAATAAATAAATAGCCACTTCCTTGCAGCCATATCCACCATGGCAAAAGTAGGGTATACCCCCCAAAATGACATAATCTGCTCATGTGATTGGATCACTGCTTCTCCTGGCAATTTCTCTCTTATTACACCACTAGGAGTGATCATGTGACTATTTTAGAAGACCCTCCCACTTAGCACACTGCAAGGAAGTCACGGGAATACAAGCATCAGCATTTACAGAAAAGGAACAATGCATAGCACAGAATCACCTTATGAGAAAAGAAGGTATTCACATCTCATTCCGGGCTTGTGAACACCATCTCCAGGCCAGATCTGGAAGCATTTCTGCAAACGCAGTCATGTGCATTTTTAATCCATTCCGATGCATTTTTTGGGGGGCTCAATTGTTTTTCCTGGGTTTTAGGCACATTACAGTGCGTTCTGGTGTCTTTGCATTATTTTTTATGCATTTCAGACCAGAAAAAAATGCAGCATGCTGAACTTTTTTTTTTTTTTTATCTCTGGAGCGTAATGCAATGGTGTGATCTAGCTTCATTTTTACCACTGGAATTACAAGGTATGTGTTTTTGGTCTAGGTAAAAAATGTTCTGGTCTGAAGATGGCATGAACAAGCCCTCCATCACTTGTCCACAAAAAGCATCTTTTCTAATTTCAGGATACTGGACAGAGCCTAGCAAATCATACGTTTTCACTTTTCAGCCTAAATATACATCTAGAACCGCTGGTGTATAGCACAGAAAAAGGGTCTATTATAGCGTCAATTATTCTAAACCATACAGTCGTTCAGGCTTGTGGCAATGGCTTCTATGGTGTAGGTCTTCAGAAACAACAAGAAAGTATAACCCAGAAGGTTATGCTGAGGACTAAAGGACTAAAGGAACCAAAAAGCTCTCCACTGAACCACAGTTGAGCCTTCTTATTTATTCTGGATTATACTTTCCCAAAGAGGGAATAAGAAAGACTATGCAATGTAGTTGCTTCAATCCTTGCAATGCATTATAAATGAGCTAGAGAGGATTTTTTTTTTAATAACAGAAGGGGAATTATATTTGACAAAAAAAAAGTTAACAAAAAAAAACACAGACATCAGTAATATGCAATTAAAATGCAAGAGGCAACTTACTGCAAATAGTATTTATTTAATGGTATTTTAAGGTGGTTCTCTGCCCAACCACACAAAGTAGGGATTTCCAGATACCAGTGCCAATACTTAGCATTTTTACGAGAACTGACAGGGTTGCAGCGGTTGTAGCTTGGACCTGGCTCTGGCGCTCCACCACTGTGCTGAAATCATTAGTCTGTATTGTTTTAGAAAAACTGTCACATGACACTAAACAAACATGTATCAGTACTTGGACAAGTATCAGTACTTGTACTTGAAAAAATGGTATCGGTTCATCCCTTATATATATTAAAAAAAGAAATCATACATTAAAACAGAGATGTACAAATCCCAGGAGCTCCGTGTGCTTCTTACAAATTACAGCTGCCTCCTAACTTTTGAATTTTTCCCTAGTTTAGTCTTGGAGGTGGAAAAGTATCTGTACTTGTACTGATATATCTGAACATCCCTAACACAAAGCACTGTACCACAAGTGCTGCAGTTCGGGAACATGTTTCAGTGTGTTATCCATTTAAAGATGGCATGGATCTGTTCATTCTCAGATTAAGTGTAGGATTCTTAAAAAGAGCAAACCAGGAAGAGATTAAGAAGGACAAACAGCTATGTGCTTTATAATCTGTACCAGTCAGGGTTTTCCTTTTGTTAGTCTGATCCATTAACTAAAACACGGGATGGGTTGCCATAGGCAGAGCTGCAAGCTATTTGCACTGTGTATTTGCTCTAGGCCTCAGCAACTCAGTAAATCTCTCCACACGTCTAAAGTGTCTTTTTGCTGTCTGTTAAGGTTTTCCTTCCATATTGGAAATTGCTAGTAGTAAAATATATTTATTCCCAACGGCTGTTTGGATCTTCACGTGTTAAAAAAAGAGCGACTGCAAAAATATATTTCTTTTTTACAAAAAAAAAAAGTGCGTCTGCCAGGGCTGGATTTCCATCACTGGAGCCTGTGGACACCTTTTGGTGCCCAAAGTAACTCCCCTCTGTTAGGGGATTTTATAACACATAGCATTCTGTTGAAGGTCTCCTATTATGCCTTAAAAAAAGCCTTTTTCCTTGCTTTATTTTTGTTGTTATACAACATAGCATTCTCTTGTTTTACTTGTCCTAACCTGGCTTTGAATATTGTACCGTGAGGCTCAATTCACTAAACTGTCACATAATGTATTCCTTGCCATCATTGTTATATTCATATTACTGTTAATTCATTGTTGAAGATAACGACCATTAAGTGCATTGAGCTTAATTGAAAAAAATCCCTTTTATGTAGTGAGCACTGCCTTCTGTCTGCCCGGCACTTTCCACAACTTCCTGGATTCCCAGTGTGCTTTGTGTCTCTTTCCCTGCTGCTTGATGTGATGCAATCTCAATTTCTCAAGACAACATATCCCATCATGCACTACATTGAGTTGTAGTTCAGAAGGCAGACTCTGAGTGTTGTGACACGAGGAAGTTCATATTCACAGGGATGAGTGAAATTGTGTTACTTCATTGCTATTTCCAAATCTGTAGTAGGCAAAAGAAAGATAGGAACTTCCACCAGAAAGGCAAGTAGAGGCAGTAGAGGCTTCCGCTGAGTTTGCTGCCTTTGCTCATAAATTAGTGTTTTCTGTAAACTTTAGAATAATAAACAAAAAATCAACTCTTATGCCTAGTTCACACAGACTTCAGTATGTATAAGAGCAGTGAGAACATCAAGCTTTTACAGAGCATTTACAGAGTTCTTGGCAAGCTTTGTTGAAGCTTTTACAGCACCCTGCAGCTCCAGTTTGGGAATGTTAAACAGATCACAATGGGGGTGCTGACTTTTAACGGAGAACTATGGGGTTAAGGCTTTTCTCCATAGTTCTCCTTAGGGTAACGGGAGGACACAAACTAGCGTCCTCCCGTCCCCCTAGGCTCAGTATACCGCGAGCTGTAGCTTGCGGTATACTGAGACGCCGCAGCTGAAGCGGATCCCGACAATTGTGCCGGGATCCGCCCAGCTGCGTGACTGACAGCTGGCTCTGCCTATCTAGAGGCAGAGCCAGCTGTACCCGCCCCCTCCCCCGTCCGTTCCGCCAGTCAGCGCTGGCGGATCGGAGCGGGGAGGGGGGAATCCAGCCCCTCCCCTGTCACGGCAGAGAGCCGTGACAGGATCGAGAGGTGAGCGAACCTGGTATGTGTTCGCTCACCTCCCGATCTACTGACCCGACCTGTGACAGTCTCATTGTCACAGGTCGGCTAGAACTATGAGGTGAGTGAAAAGCACTCACCTCATAGTTCTCCTTTAATTTAGGCAAGCTTCTAACAAGCTTCAGCAAAGTCCAGCAAAACCTGAAGCTTGTGGAAAGCCTACTGAAGCCTGCTAGCAGCTTGTTTAAAGTGATAGTCAGCACTCCCTTTAAGATCTGTGTTTAACATTC